ATGTCAGTAGAGATTGGTCTCAATGTCAGCAGATTGATTGGTCTCAATGTCAGTAGAGATTGGTCTCAATGTCAGCAGGTTGGTCTTAATGTCAGTAGAGATTGGTCTCAATGTCAGTAGAGATTCAATGTCAGTAGAGATTGGTCTCAATGTCAGCAGATTGGTCTCAATGTCAGTAGAGATTGGTCTCAATGTCAGCAGATTGGTCTCAATGTCAGTAGAGATTGGTCTCAGTTTCAGTAGAGATTGTTGTTAATATTACTTACTTATAGTTACTTATAGTTGTTTTCCAGTACAGAAATTATTCTTCCTCTTCACCGGACTCGTTGTTAGTTATGCTCATAGTTCTGTCACTTCCTGGTGTAGCATTGTAGTTGTAGTGCAATTCCTGCTTTTCCATAATTTATCCAGACGGTTTTTGAATGTGTTCGTGTTTGGAGCGCTGATTACATATTCCGGTAGGTTGTTACAAACTTTCCATACTCTCCGAGAGAAAATGTTTTGTCTAAAACTAATTTGGGGTCTTTGTGGATAGATTTTGTTTGAGTTTGTCCTTGAACTACTTCTTTTTGTAACACTATTCCATGGTGTAAGAATGCTGTTTGTATCCTTTTTGTATATACCACTCATTTTCTTGTATGCCTCAATCATGTCCCCTCTTAACCTGCGAAATGCGAGAGTTGGCAATCCTAGATCCTTAAGTCTATCTTCATAAGTTAAGTTTTTTAATCCTGGAAGCTGTTTTGTCGCCCTTCTCTGCACTCCCTAGTTCTTTCAACGTCTTTGATTCTGAAAGGTGACCAAACGGGACTAGCTAAGTCCAAGTGTGTTCTGACCAGGGTTTTGTACAAACGATTTTTTGTTCATGAAATTGAAAGTTCTCCTAAGCATAGCAAACATTGAGTTGGCTTTGATTACCTTCTCACTTATATGATCTTCGAATGTAAGCTTAGTGTCTACCTTTATTCCAATATCTTTTTTCGCTTTCCGTTTTTGCCAGCACTATGTTATTGAGTGAATAAGATGTTTCTTTCATCGAGGGATTGCCAATGTGCATGTATTTGCATTTTTGGGGGTTTACCAGTCCTTGCTCCATTTTACCATGTTATCCAGGTCCTTTTGTAGTAAGCTGCTATCCTCTTCTTTGTCAATAATCCTGAATATTTTAGTGTCATCAGCAAATAGGAATATAGATGACTTTACGGTATCTGACAGGTCATTCACAAAGATTACAAACAGTATCGGTCCGAGAACCGAGCCTTGTGGGATGCCTGACAACATATTTGACCTTCTGAATGTTTTCCGTTTATAGTTACCCGCTGTTCTCTCAATTTCAGAAAGCTATTTATCCATTCTATTAATTAACTGGAAAACTTATATGCCTTTAATTTGTTGAGATTCTATTTTGGGGGACTGTGTCAAAGGCCTTCTTATAATCTAAGTAGATGCAATCTATAGACAATCCTTTGTCTAATGCTTCTGTTCACTTGTCCATCACCTCTAGCATTTTTAATGATATAGATCTTTCGGTAGAAAACCAAATTGCTTAGTTGTGAACATATTATTGGCATTCATATGTGACATTTTATGGTTCCTCACTATCTTCTCCATTGATTTACATATGACCGACGTTGGGCTCACAGGCCTGTAGTTACCTGCCTCTCTTATATATGGCACTAATTTGGGCCCTCTTCCATTCGTCTGGTATTTGACCTATTCTTAAGAATTGGTTGAAGATGATTGTGAGTGATGTAGCTGTCGATGTTGCTATCTGTTTCAATGCTCTCGGTGTAGGTTATCTATACCTGGGGAAATTGTCAATCTTAGTTGTTGTAGCATTTCAATTACTGGTTCTTCCTTTACTTCCAAATTTATCATCTCCGCTTTTACTTCTTTCTGTTCCACTTCTGATACGTAACCTTCACTTTCTTCAACAAAGACACTTCGAAAGAAGTTAGCTGGAATGTTTGCTTTCTCTCGATCATCGCTAGTCTTCTGTGAATTTTTATCCTTTTGGTTTTTATGTAGAGATCTCCAATACCTGATCTTGTCTTAGATTTTGATTTTATGTATCTCCAAAAAGCCTTTGGATTGGTCTTAGCCTTTGCTGAAAGATCGCTTTCAATTTTTTTTCCTCATCTTCCTCGTCTCTCTGTTAACTTAATTTCTTATCCGTTTATATTCTTTCTGTAACTTAGGATCTCTTGATTGCATTTCCTTTTTTGCAAGTGAATGCTTATTCTTTATCAAGCCTAATGTTTTTTTATATCTATTGGATAGCCTCCGGCAGTATGTCTGCTGCTGGTTATAGTTTTAGTAGGTACATGTTTGTCTTCTATTTCTTTTATGATTCCATGGAAAGCATCCCAATTCTTGTTAATAGGGTTCGTTGTGATTTTCTTGACCGAATCCACCTTCCTGACCTCTGCATTCATTGCTTCAAAGTTCGCTTTATTATATAGTTTCACAGTTCTCTCTTGGTTGTTAACTCTTGTGTAACAATTATACGTCAAAGCTATCACGCAATGGTCACTTTTTCGAAGGGGCTTTCATATTCGATATCTGAAATCTTATTTTCGTTATTGGTGAACACTAGGTCTAACACATGGGGGTATCGTTTCCTCTTCATCTTGTAAGTTTAGATACATGTTGATATAGGAAACTGTCTTTTTACATTCTAAGAATTTGAATTCATCAGAATTTGTACCATCACTTTTAGTATCTAACATATCCCAATTTATCTCCGGGTAACTTAAATCTCCCATCAACAAGAGGTGTGAATATTTCAGCCTTGACATTCCATCAAAGACGCTGCATAACTTCTGGTTGTTTTCCCTTGAACCACCGTCTGATCTGTACATTAGTCCCATTAGCAAGTTGTCTCTGTTGTTAATTTTGACCTCAACGAATAGTTGTTCCAGAAAGTCTATATTAATTTCCTTTATCTGTGCTTTTAAGTTACTATTGACGTATATGAATATTCCTCTGCTGGTATTGTTCTCTATATTTTTCCCAAATGTTGTGTATCCTTCCATCGAGAATTCAGTCTGACTTGGTTTGAACCTAGTTTTTTGGCTTTACTTCAGTAATCCCTATAATATCAGGTTTCATTTGATCTATTCTAATATTGATTTCAGATAGTTTGTTTGTTAATTGATCCGCATTTGTATAAACACACTTCAAATTTTCATAAATTAAACAACTATTTACACTATATACGTTGTTCTGGGGGATTTTTATTTTGACTCCTCCCTTATGTGAACCTTGACACTTTTTCTGGCCCTTGGTGGCCCCTTTAGATCTCTCTTCCCCCGATGATCTTGATTTCGCTTCTAGCCACAGCTTTTTCTTCCCATTCTGATTTTGTGAGATCATTACTGACTCTAATGTCTTTCTGATTTTGTAAGATCATTACTGACTCTAATGTCTTTCAGTTGTTCATTTGACTGTAACATCTGAATATTCCCGAAGAACTCTTTTTTTTCTTTCCTATATCCTCGAATGTAGCTATTATTGATCTCTTGCTCACCTGTGTTTCGGATTCACTGTGGGCTCCTTAAATTTGCCTATTATCCTTACTTTATGCACGCATCCTGTATCTACTTTACAGTTTCTCAGAACCTCGTGTACGATATCAGTATCATGCTTTACCCTTTCTGTTGTATTTTCGGAGTTAAGTTCCCCTTTGCCATATATGATAATGTTTGCTTCTATTTGTTTCCTTTCATTCAGTTCTCAAACCGCAGTATTTGTTGTTATCTCTTCTTCTCTAGCCTCACCTGAAATGGGCCTCTTTGATTGGTCTTTATTTTCCTCACTGATAATTTCCCTGATACGTTTCTCATCACATGTAACTTTTTCTAGATGTGTTATCCTCTCTTTATATTCATTCATAATTATCCTACATTTCTCTTCAATTTTGAGCTCAATAGCTATACTCTTCAAAACATCCTCTCTGCATTGAGTGAAAAACCACATCGAGTCCGAGTGACTCAAGACCTCATACTCAGTGTCTGACTTATTTAGACATATTGTACAGAAGTGTAGGCTACATTTCTCACATTCCATGACATTGGCTTTAAGATCACTAAAAGTATTCCAACACAGCTCGCATTTCCATCCTTCATCCTCCAGCTCATTGCCACTAGTTTCAGGTGACACAAATGGGGAATTATCACTCGAATTTTTCCGGGAACTGGGTCTACTACCTCTTCTTAGACTATTTATTTTACTTTTCCCTCTTTTCGCTGCCGTAGCTGCCGGGTCGCCATATTGTTTTTTACCCGACTGATTAATCTCATCTACAAACGTTAATTACTCTTAGTGTATTAGCAGGAAAGCACCAGGCATTCAATATTTGCTTTATACTACCTTATGAAGATTTCAAGGGAGTTTTCAATACATACATTCTTCAAAAAGCCATCAACAATACTCATTTCCTTCAGCGCTTCAGATTTTCCAATGTTTACCTTTCGACCGGAAGTGGCGTCTCCCCCAATGTCCGCAGACTGGTCTCAATGTCAGCAGGTTGGTCTCAATGTCAGTAGAGATTGGTCTCAATGTCAGCAGATTGGCACCAAAGTCAGTAGAGATTGGTCTCAATGTGCGCAGATTGGTCTCGATGTCATCAGAGATTGGTCTCAATGTCAGTAGAGATTGGTCTAAATGACCTCAGAGATTGGTCTCAATGTCAGCAGATTGGTCTCAATGTCAGTAGAGATTGGTCTAAATGACCTCAGAGATTGGTCTCAATGTCAGCAGAGATTGGTCTCAATGTCAGCAGATTGGTCTCAATGTCAGTAGAGATTGGTCTAAATGACCTCAGAAATTGGTCTCAATGTCAGCAGAGATTGGTCTCAATGTCAGCAGAGATTGGTCTAAATGTCATCAGAGATTGGGATTAATTTCAGTAGACATTGGGCTCAGTCATCTATTGGATTCAGGTAAATTATTACATGACCATGACAAAAGAATCACAATACATTATAGTTATGGATGAATTTAATAAAAACACAAGTATACATTTCTGCTACTTAAAACTGGCTAGTTACTTAACATACACAGTAATCACTAGTTAAAACACAAATTCTACACGATTCATGCAATAAATATCCCCTAACAACGTACCAAGATACATGATGTATAATCATGACTTCTTATGAAGACTTGGTGAAAGCATCGGGACTTTGACACCCTTGGTATCTTTTTACTGTCCAACTTGGTAAATAACATTTAAAAACATCAACAATATAATTAAGTTCTAAATCACTTTGTTCTAAACCCTACTTGCATATCTATGTAATTCAAAGATAGTGTATAACTGATTGGTGCCATTCCATAATGCTAAACTTACACAGGCCATTTCATAGTGCCCTTGACTTTTGTACTTCATGATCAATGTTAGTTTTTGTCAATAACACCAAACCTTTAGCTATAGTAACATGCCTTGTATCTGATGGGGAGGCATCAGGAATTTTAAAAAGGTTTTGTAGAAGAAAAGGAAGATATTAAAATTTCAAATTTTATTATGTTTAACAATCGTATCCTCGAAACAGGAGGCACAACTAAACCTTTCCAGTGTCTCCTTTAAAGTATAATGTTGACTATATAAACCTCCGTGAACAACATATGGAAGGTCCATCACATGTGGACCAGAGCACAGCAGATTAAATAAGAAGTGTTGAACCAATACCTCAAATCTTCACTTCAGATTACTTTGTCCAACCCTTAAAAATCAACGTAGCCTGCAGTTGTTTCATTAAAATAGTCAGTAGGTAGAAAGGTTCTTAATATTTCATCAATATCAAATTGTTGGGTAAAAGATTAAAATGTATCTATGTCACACTGTTTTGGTAACATACAAATACATTTGGTACTTAAGTATCAATACTGTTGTGAAAATGAGAAGTTAGTAAGCTGATTGTACTGCCTTTTCTCTGATTGTGTTTAAATAGATCAATGTCCGCGACACATCCTCGGATCACTGTACAATGTCCGCGACACATCCTCGGATCACTGTACAATGTGCGCGACACATATTGTAACTTACCTTTTCGTCAAAAACATCCCAGTTTAATGGTTTTGCCAAGATTTTACCCGTAGATATTTGTGATAACCTGGTCTGTATCCCACACCACAAAGTCTGCCTTTTTATGGATGTATGCTATTTATTTTGTCCCGAGGCTACATCTAAGGCAATGGGCACAATGAGCTCTTTTGATTATTTTTTTTATGGATTTCCAGCAACTTCTGCATGAGTCCTGATGTGCTTTTTCACACTTCTTGATTCTGTATAACCCTTCCCACAGATTCCACATGTGTAGGGTTTCTCAATTTCGTGCGATCTGATGTGTCTCTGTAAGAAAGTGAAATCACTATATGCTACTCCGCAGTATTTACACGTGAAGGGTTTCTCGAGTGCGTGTGTTATGATGTGTGACTGTAAGCCAGTTGACTCACTGAACTCCAGTCCACAGTAGTCACATGTGAAGGGTTTTCCATCTCTATTTGCGTTAAACCCACGGAGAGGTTTGGGGCGTTTCTCTCCTGTGTGCGTCTTCATGTGTCTTTTCAGACTATCAGACAAAGTAAACCTTTTGTGGCAAAGGTCGCATGTAAATGGTTTTTCTCCTGTGTGTGTTCGCATGTGTTTCTGTAGGACTTGAGAGTGATTAAATCTGTTACCACAGACCTCACACTTATAGGGTTTTTCTCCGGTGTGAGTCCGAAAGTGTCTCTGCAGGTTACCCCTTTGACTAAACCACTTACCACAAACATCACATTTGAAATGTTTCTCTCCTGTGTGTGTCCTGAAGTGTCTTTCAAGACTGTCTGCAACACGGAACTTTTTATTACAGACGTCACACTCAAACAATTTCTCTTTTTCATGCGTCCTCAAATGTCTCTGTAGGTTTCCAGATTCGTTGAACCTTTTCTCACAAAGAATACATTTGTAAGGCTTCTCTCCTGTGTGCGTCCTGAAATGTTTCTCAAGGTGACATGAATATCTGAACATTTTATCGCAGACAGCACATTTATACGTCTTTTCCCCTGTGTGCGTTCTTACATGCCTCTGGTGGAAATCCGGATCACTAAAACTCTTGCCACAGATATCACACTTGTATGGTTTCTCCTTTGTGTGAGTCATTATGTGTCTTTGGAGGAAACATGAATATTTAAACAATTTATCGCAGATATCACATTTGTAGGTTTTATCCCCTTTCTGATGTGGTGTTTGTGTTTCAAGACTTAGTGCCATTCCTAAATCCTTATGACCGACTTTCTCTAAAGCTTCATTTAGAGTCAAGAAACAAATATCAACATGAAAAGTGTGAGATAGGACAGCTTTCTGTTCATCAAGTGTTTTATTTAATCCACTCCTTCTTTTATAAAATCACATTTGCTTGCCAAGTGTTTGACTAAATTCCATCCAGTTTACAGAGGCTTACCTAACATCTCAGATCTTTCCTGATCAGTCTGAATAAATCAATTCCTGATCAAACTGATCCTGACCCAGTTCTTTCCTACTTACTGATCACGATTGTGCGATGAATATTTTCAGCATATCAGTCTTTTCAATATACAATCATGCACTTGCCTTTGGCAGTGTCCATGTTAGAGTATATATGCAAGAACATATATATATATCCAAGCATGTGCTGCAAATACGAAATCCAGGCATTCCTAAAAGGTTAAATAAAAAATTAAATTTAATATTTCGTATTATATCAAACAAGAAAATCAATGATAAAAAGATTTTTTTTTTAAATCGATTAATTGGTTAGATTTTGTTATTTTTTCCCATGCATTTGATTTTGGGCAAGCATTGTAATACTTAAAATTATACTCTTCACAAAACTGTGACACTCTCTGAGAAAATTAGATCAAGATTATCAAACTAAAGCTAGTCACCACTCGCTGTTGTGTCTACCACCCATCGCTGTTTTGATCGGAAATAGCCGAGTTCATCATGTGACCTTTTATAACCTAATTTTAACCAGCCATTTTGATATCATTTCTTACAATGAATAATTATGTAATTAGCCAAAACTGAATTTGCCAGACATGCTTCAATTCCTACTTTATAAAATGATCTCTTGTTTTACACTATACCCATGATAGAACGAAATCAATGAATTTGAATTAATCTGAATCCAAAACTACATGCACAAAGACAATGTTTACACTATCTGAATGATAATGATATGAATTAGTGTTGGGTCGCTCCTATTTTATTTTAATTTTGATGTTGTTGATAAAAGGGTTAAAGTGATACCAGACACATACCATCTCACCAAGGTAAACCCTTAAGTGTAACTAAGATCATAAAGTTCCAGAGACTTTTTGTAATACTATTAGAGATGGATGCTGGACAAACATTTTTTGTATGTCTTAGGTCATTGGCCGTAGTGACCTACTGTTAATACATGACACACACCTTCACTCGGGTGAAACAAGAACATTTTTTCATTCAAAGGCTCTGATCGATACATTTGCTGACTAAAATTTTGAATTGACTACTTTTTCAGTTTATACAAATTCAATCTTGTGGAAATGCCATTTTTGTGGTTACTGTTATAAAAACAATCATCTGTACACTAATGTATCTATAGTCAGAGAATTTTTATCCTCTGTAGACTCAGAGACATATCTAACACAACTGTTATATATGTCTCTGGTAGACTGTAATATGGGAAATCCTATGTATCTCGCAACCTGGTAATGAGATCAAAATCAGGACAATTTAGAAATCCACACACCTTCACATCAAATGAAAGAATGTTCCAAACGTTCATACGAAACACGTGGTTAAGAGTTATCCAAATAAAAGATGTTTTGATAAAAGGTAGCGAGAAAACAGAAATTTTTAATCGATTACCTGTAAATGTGGGCCTACTTACCTAAAAATACGCGGACTAAAGCGGCGTGATTTTTGGCCAATTTCTTGTGTGGGATATCATAACAAATCAAGTGATTTCCAACTTTCAATTAGTATGTCAAACTCTAGAGAAGTAAGCGTTACATGGTGATAAAACCTGTCATAGCATGGCTCGCGTCCATTACTGGGCTGCCCTCAATCAATTGTAACGATCTGCGTCAGTCAAGCGCTTAAGGCTGGGAGGTACTAAAGACAAGATAATTACAAACTCTATCAAGTGCTATGCATGTGAATTACTTGAAATACATTTCGAGTGTGATTTTTTAAAAACAACTTTAGAGTCAAAATGTTATCACTTTTCCCTTTAAAGTAGATTGAGAATCAACGCTTCATAAATCCAACTTATGATTGATATTGACACAAGCCATTGTAAACTTTGCATCCGAGTTCCTTTTTCTGTTGGGGAATCTAGTTTGATGGTACATTTGACTATGGACAAATCAATTCCTGTTTGTTGACTGTAATTCTTATATAAACAATCTTGCTTCTGCTAAATTTAGATAATAGATCACTCTAAACTGTCATTAGTTTCATTGAAATGCTATAAAGGATGAACCAATGTTGTAAAACTTATCAAATTAATTCTGATCAGAATTTAAATATTGTACAAAGGACTCAGGAACACTGCATCAAAGATTTAAATATTCTATAAAGAACTCAGGAACACGGCATCAAAGATTTAAATATTCTACAAAGAACTCAGGAACACGGCATCAAAGATTTAAATATTCTACAAAGAATTCAGGAACACGGCATCAAAGATTTAAATATTCTACAAAGAACTCAGGAACACGGCATCAAAGATTTAAATATTCTACAAAGAACTCAGGAACACGGCATCAAAGATTTAAATATTCTACAAAGAACTCAGGAACACGGCATCAAAGATTTAAATATTCTACAAAGAACTCAGAAACACGGCATCAAAGATTTAAATATTCTACAAAGAACTCAGGAACACGGCATCAAAGATTTGAATATTGTACAAAGAACTCAGGAACACAGCATCAAAGGATATGGTTTTAATATAGATTGATTTCATGTACATAAAGATATACATTTGCCTAATAATCAATACATCTGCATCAAATGAAAAATTCATCAAGGACTCTTAAATGATGCAAATAATACATACAGGTGTACAAGGTATTAATGTTTCAAATAACTATAATTTCATTGACAGCGAGAAAATATAGACAGGTAAAAATGACATGAAAATGGCTGTAAAGAAAATATTTCAAGCCTTACCACAAAATCATTAATTTTCGTGGGAAACTTATTTAATTGATTTTGTTGAAACTTGTAATTCATTAATAAAGACGTCTATGAACTGTTAAAAGTTAGTATAAGCAGATTTATTGAGCCATCGATATCCCCAAAACCAAATGTCCATGACCGTTGTTTTTTTTATGTTTTTTTTTTTGTAAAACTACAAAAATTGAGCCCCACAAAAGTATATGACTTGACAGTATTTGAAAAAATAAATAAATTATGATGAAATTCAAAAAAGGAAAATATATATTAGTAGTATATTTCATATATCATTGCAATGAAATCTATTTAAACCTGTGTAAAAAGACCACTAAAGGAAAATGAGAATAGTGGCCTTTTTAGACTAGTGACCTTCAAATAAAGGTTCAATTACACTGGGAGCCCAAGCAAGTGGCCTGCATGGACAGTTCACCTTTGAATAGAGGTGGTCCTCAGAGGTCTGTCACCTTCAGTGTAATTGCCATGAATTGTATTACATATTAAATTGGGAACCAGATCAAGTGGCCTTAATTAACAGGTGACTTTTCAACAGAGGTGGTCCTTTTAGACAGGTGATCCTTATACATGTATACAGGTGGTCCTTACAGACAGGTCGCCTTCAGATAAAGGTAAAATTACTACAAATTGTATTATATATTACAGCTGGAACCAAATCAAGTGGTCTTTATTGATAGGTGTCCTTTCAACAGATGTGGTCCTTATAGACAGATGATCATAAATAGTTGTAAAGAAGTGGCCTGTATAAAGACAAGATCTGTAAGACTGGTTTGATTGCAAAATATTTCCTAATCAAATGTTAAACAATTATTGTTCAGTCGCAGAGCTATGCTTACAGACGACTATATATAAACATTGTACTTACTCACTTGGTGATATGATCAAGGACCAAAACAATATATCTGTCTCAAGTGTTGTCACACCGAACCATGTAATACAGAATTAGTCGACATTTTTTTTGAAAATTTCATCAATCTGACTGGGCTTAATACACGATAAATACAACATCAGTACCATCATACTGTAAAATATTTTTTTTCGTGGTGGATTTATTTTCACTCAACTCGTTGGTACTCTGAATCCACAAATTTATATGTTAACAACATAATTCACAGGTAAAATTTTGACATGGATTGTAGTACAGTTGGTTTCGTGAACAAGAACATAATCATGAAATCAAGTACCCATAAAAATGTGCGTTTTTGTTGATTCTCATGAAAAATGTATGATTTTACATTCACATCAGCATTGACATCAAAACTAAAATTACACAATGGAACGGTACACAGCACAGCAGTTTAAAACTCTAAAATCAAGCTGTAGATGACATAGGTAAATAGTTTACAAGATTAACAGACCTACAATCTATCTTTCCCATATCTAGATGCTTATGACACAACAGATCTACAAGCTATTATCTTCATATCTAGGCTCTGATCATTAACAAGACACACTTGTCTCATGTTTCTTGCCTACATTCTGACCTGTGTCGTGAGACTGAAGTCAGACTGATGAGACAGTATGTTGTCTCTGGTCTACATTCTGACCCATGTCGTGAGACTGAAATCAAACTGACGAGACAATAAACCTTCAAAGTTATAACCTTAATAATCTTGTGTCTCCATTGGTAATGATGGCAAGAGGTTTCTATAGAGACATGACGAGACATTAAACTGACCCCTGATATAGCACATCAAAGTTGCCTCCTTTATATATATTGTTCTGTGTCACTTTTGGCTAAAATGGCAAGATATTTCTACAGAAGTCCGAGGTGACACCAAACAAACTTTATATAACAAATTCTCCCCTCCTTCATATTTTTTCAAGTGTCTTTTGTGTCTCTAGAAGCACAGGGAGATAATAAACTAACCACTGATATCCCATGTGTGCTATTAATATTAATCTTATAATATCTAATAAATCTGAAGTGTCTCTGGAGGTTTTATCACACCTTAGAATCTGAAGTGTCTCTGGAGGTTTTACCCCACTACAGAATCTGAAGTGTCTCTGGAGGTTTTATCTCAACACAGAATCTGAAGTATCTCTGGAGGTTTTACCCCACTACAGAATCTGAAGTGTCTCTGGAGGTTTTATCTCAACACAGAATCTGAAGTGTCTCTGGAGGTTTTACCCCACCACAGAATCTGAAGTGTCTCTGGAGGTTTTATCACACCTTAGAATCTGAAGTGTCTCTGGAGGTTTTATCACACCACAGAATCTGAAGTGTCTCTGGAGGTTTTATCTCACCACAGAATCTGAAGTGTCTCTGGAGGTTTTATCTCAACACAGAATCTGAAGTGTCTCTGGAGGTTTTACCCCACTACAGAATCTGAAGTGTCTCTGGAGGTTTTATCTCACCACAGAATCTGAAGTGTCTCTGGAGGTTTTACCCCACCACAGAATCTGAAGTGTCTCTGGAGGTTTTATCTCACCATAGAAGCTGAAGTGTCTCTGGAGGTTTGTTTTACCCCACCACAGAATCTGAAGTGTCTCTGGAGGTTTTACCCCACCACAGAATCTGAAGTGTCTCTGGAGGTTTTATCTCACCACAGAATCTGAAGTGTCTCTGGAGGTTTTATCTCATCACAGAAGCTGAAGTGTCTCTGGAGGTTTAATCTCACCACAGAAGCTGAAGTGTCTCTGGAGGTTTAATCTCACCACAGAAGCTGAAGTGTCTCTGGAGGTTTTTTCTTACCCCACCACAGAATCTGAAGTGTCTCTGGAGGTTTGTTTTATCACATCACAGAATCTAAAGTGTCACTGGAGGTTTTACCACACCACAGAATCTGAAGTGTCTCTGGAGGATTTACCACACCACAGAATCTGACGTGTCTCTGGAGGTTTAATCTCACCACAGAATCTGAAGTGTCACTGGAGGTTTTACCACACCACAGAATCTGAAGTGTCTCTGGAGGTTTGTTTTATCACATCACAGAATCTAAAGTGTCACTGGAGGTTTTACCACACCACAGAATCTGAAGTGTCTCTGGAGGTTTGTTTTATCACATCACAGAATCTCAAGTGTCTCTGGAGGTTTTACCCAACCACAGGATCTGAAGTGTCTCTAGAGGTTTGTTTTACCCCCCACAGAATCTGAAGTGTCTCTGGAGGTTTGTTTTACCACATCACAGAATCTGAAGTGTCTCTGAAGGTTTTACCCCACCACAGAATCTGAAGTGTCTCTAGAGGTTTGTTTTACCCCCCACAGAATCTGAAGTGTCTCTGGAGGTTTGTTTTGCCCCACCACAGAATCTGAAGTGTCTCTAGAGGTTTATTTTACCCCCCACAGAATCTCAAGTGTCTCTGGAGGTTTTACCCAACCACAGGATCTAAAGTGTCTCTGGAGGATTTACCACATCACAGAATCTGAAGTGTCTCTGGAGGTTTGTTTTACCCCACCACAGAATCTGAAGTGTCTCTGAAGGTTTTATCTCACCACAGAATCTGAAGTGTCTCTGGAGGTTTGTTTTACCCCACCACAGAATCTGAAGTGTCTCTGAAAGTTTGTTTTACCCCCCACAGAATCTGAAGTGTCTCTGGAGGTTTTACCCCACCACAGAATTGCTAACCTCTGGTGTCTCCTCTGTATCTGTTATGAGATCTGTTGGAAGATTAGATGACAAATCAAATCCCATAAAATCAAAATTGTATGATTTCTCACCTGAATGTATCTTAACATGTTTACGTAGGGCAGATGAGGAACAAAACGTTTTATCGCAGTTGTCACACTTGTATGGTTTCTCTCCCGTATGAGTTCTCTGATGAATCTTTAAATCGTTTACCTGTCTCAACTCCTTTCCACAAATATCACATTTATACGGCTTTTCCCCTGTGTGTGTCCGTATATGATTACTCAAGTGCCCTGATTCGGCAAATGCTTTACCGCAAAAATAACACTTGTGTCGCTTCTCGCCTGTATGTGTTCTCATATGTCGATGAAGACTCGAGGAAAAACTGAAATCTTTACCACAGATTTCACACTTGCACGGCTTTTCCCCTGTGTGTGTCCGCAGGTGCATTTTAACATCGTTTGTCTGTGAAAATTCTTTACCACAAATCTTACATTCATACGGCTTTTCCCCAGTATGTATCATCATATGTGAGTGCAAGTTTGCTGACTGGCTAAAGGCCCTCCCACATATGTCGCACTTGTATGGTCTTTCCCCAGTATGTGTTCGCATGTGTTTCTGTAAATTAGAAGTGCGACCAAAACTTTTTCCACAGACATCACACTTATGTGGTTTCTCGCCTGTATGCGTTCTCATGTGAGCTTGCAGGGCTGATGCCTGACTAAATTCCTTAATGCATACATCACATTTATATGGTTTCTCACCAGTATGTGTCCGTAAATGTCTCTTAACATCAGATGTGCGACTAAACCCGCGTCCACAGACCTCACATGCGAACGGCGTTTCCCCCGTATGTGTTCGCATGTGTTTCTCTAAAGCTGACTTGCAAGTGGAGATTTTACCACATACCTCACATCGGTGTGGTGGGATCTCCCCCGTATGTATTCTCAGGTGAGCCTTGAAATATTTCCCTTTAATAAACTCCTTACCGCAGACATGACATTTGAATGGTTTGTGTCCAATGTGTGTCTGAAAATGTGTCTTAAACCCAGACACACAATTAAATCCCTCACCGCAAACATCACATTTGTAAAGCTTTTCTTCTGACGGTGTCGTTTTCTGCTTCTTTATCCAGGACATGTCAATCAGATTTTGATCGTTGGCATCAAAGATGTATGTATAGGGTTCTTTAACAGCATGTGCCCTGATGTGTACCTCGAGCTCAGATGAATCACTAAACTCCTTTCCACATACACCACAGGTGTATAGATTTGGTAGCTCACTAGAGATTAATTCTAGCTCAGATGAGTTACAAGGCTCTTTATCAAATTTCAAGATATTTGACTCTGCTCCTGTATGTGTCCTAGTGTGTACCTCTGGCTGAGACAAGTCACTCAACTCTCCATCATATTTCAAGATGTTTGGTTCGTCATCTGTGTGTATCCTGGTGTGTACCTCTGGCTGACATGAGTCACTCAACTCTCCACCATACTCCAACATGCTTGGTTCCTTCATGGTGTGATTCTCCAGCATCCCTTCATTTGAATCTTCCTCACATTTCAACATATATATTTCCTCACCTGTATGTGTCTGGGCGTGTACCTCTAGCTGTGGCGAGTTACTTCCTTCCTTTTCACATGTCGACATGTTCAGTTCCACACCTGTATGTGTTTGGGCGTGTACCTCTAGCTGTGGCGAGTTACTTACTTCCATTTCACATGTCGACATGTTCAGTTCCACACCTGTATGTGTCTGGGCGTGTACCTCTAGCTGTGGCGAGTTACTTCCTTCCTTTTCACATGTCGACATGTTCAGCTCCACACCTGTATGTGTCTGGGCGTGTACCTCTAGCTGTGGCGAGTCACTAGATTCTTTATCTTATACATCACATGTGTTTGAATACTTATATCTGAACAAGACAGTGCAATGTGTCCAATTTTGGTAGGTCCATTCTCTACCTGAAATGTAACAATAAAAAATCAGTGAATCAGGTTGATCTAAGTGAGAGAAATCTATAATTATCGATAATTTATATATAGCTCTATCACTTACCCTTACCTCCAGGTGTAAGGAAACACTTACCTCCAGGTGTAAGGAAACACTTATCTCCAGGTGTAAGGAAACACTTATCTCCAGGTGTAAGGAAACACCTACCTCCAGCTGTAAGGAAACACTTACCTCCAGGTGTAAGGAAACACCTACCTCCAGGTGTAAGGAAACACTTACCTCCAGGTGTAAGGAAACACTTACCTCCAGGTGTAAGGAAACACCTACCTCCAGGTGTAAGGAAACACTTACCTCCAGGTGTAAGGAAACACTTACCTCCAGGTGTAAGGAAACACCTACCTCCAGGTGTAAGGAAACACTTACCTCCAGGTGTAAGGAAACACCTACCTCCAGATGTAAGTAAACACCAGGTGTAAGGAAACACTTACCTCCAGGTGTAAGGAAACACTTACCTCCACACTTACCTCCAGGTGTAAGGCAACACCTACCTCAAAGTGTAAGGCAACACTTACCTCCAGGTGTAAGGAAACACTTATCTCCAGGTGTAAGGAAACACTTACCTCCAGGTGTAAGGAAACACTTACCTCCAGGTGTAAGGAAACACTTACCTCCAGGTGTAAGGAAACACTTACCTCCAGGTGTAAGGAAACACTTACCTCCAGCTGTAAGGAAACACTTACCTCCAGGTGTAAGGAAACACCTACCTCCAGGTGTAAGGAAACACTTACCTCCAGGTGTAAGGAAACACTTACCTCCAGGTGTAAGGAAACACTTACCTCCAGGTGTAAGGAAACACTTACCTCCAGGTGTAAGGAAACACTTACCTCCAGGTGTAAGGAAACACTTACCTCCAGGTGTAAGGAAACACTTACCTCCAGGTGTAAGGAAACACTTACCTCCAGGTGTAAGGAAACACCTACCTCCAGGTGTAAGGAAACACTTACCTCCAGGTGTAAGGAAACACACTTACCTCCAGGTGTAAGGAAACACTTACCTCCAGGTGTAAGGAAACAACACACTTACCTCCAGGTGTAAGGAAACACCTACCTCCAGGTGTAAGGAAACACTTACCTCCAGGTGTAAGGAAACACTTACCTCCAGGTGTAAGGAAACATCCTATAATCCATAACTTCTTTGATGAAAATGATGGTACCATATGGCAGAAAATCTTGTGACTGTAATGATCAAACACGGTATATCTTTGGTCAGTTATAAACCAACAAAAATACAAATGAAAGACTAATTCCTGCAGTTTCATGTATACACTATCAATACGTCAATTGATCAGAAAGACAGAATCGAAACAGAAATATTGATAAAAATAGGCAATAAAGTTTTATTTTCTTACTTAAATTTTACTTAAATAGTGTGCCTAATATAATGTAGTATATATATCTTGTGCAAAACCCTGAAAGTCTTCCATAAGATGAAGCATTTGAAGCAATTTCTCTATTTCCCCAATTGGACCCCACCCTCTGCTGCCATTGGCATCACAACCACTGTTTGCTTCAGTCCAAGTTTGGACAAAATTCAATCATTCCTACAGAAGAAGGATTTTAAAGCATTTAGTAATTTATCCCTGTTTTAGTGATATGTCCCTAAGGCCTGAGGGATCCGACTCAATATTTATACAAAATGGGGTCCTCTTCTGTTCAAATATCTGCTCAGTATTTCAGGACTAGTAGTGATCTTAAGAAGAAGCAGAAAGCCGAGTGCTGGACGCCATGACAACGCTCACCTGAACTTCCTGCCAGGTAAACAAACCAAACACTGAATACTGTTAATCCAAGCATTGTTTGCTAAAAATGCCCCATATACGAGGGGGGATTCCCACTACTGACACAGACCTAAAGCTGTCATTCAAAGGTTTCTGCTCGCAATCATGACAAAGACATAGGCCTTAACAGTCATGAAAACCTGTTTATGATATAACAGCACAGTAGTAGTTACATTTATTAGATTATTAAAAGTTTGGAATATTTTAGCAGTAAGGTACAAAAACACTCCCCATTTATGTTTCTCAACATTCCTACAAAATTTCAACTCAATTGAACCAGTGGAACTTAAGAAGTTTAAAATGTGTTTTTCAAGATGGTTGCCATGCACACCTGATTTCAGATTGACCCTAAAATAACAACACTTGGTCAGGACCATCTAAGGATCATTTCAGGCAAGTTTCAGCTGAATCCAAGTGGTGGAACTTGAAAGTTTACAATAAGTGTTGTTCTATATCTGGGTAACCATCATTGTATAACCATTTTACAAAATGGCACCAATGGAACTTCAAAAGTGTAAAATGTGTTTTTAAGGATGTCGGTCATGGCTGCTGAATTTGTATGATGAATTGTGAAAGCAATAGGTAATCCTGACCTTTCTGGTCAAATAACCTAAAAAATCACAGACTGAAAGTAATGAGATCCTATTGGACTAGGACAGTGATAGTACCGGCACTATTTGCTGGATAAACAAGGTTATCACATGCAACATGTTAATTTCTTGTATAAGTATGTTTGATAATGTTTGATAACTTTTTATTACATCTGTCAGGCCGTGTATCTTAGCTGCAATGTTGTAACTATTGAATTGATTTTGTTATTATATTAATTAGTCGCCTGAAACCTGCTTGACAAGAAAACCGTCTACAACTGAGAACGTCAAGACTTCAGTCAGTGGCCTTCAGCAACAGCAAATAACAGGCATCTTTCCCCCTGTCACAGTGTAAATGTAAGTGTCACTAAGTATACAAGTGTCTGTAAACATCCTGTCTGATTTGTATTCATTACTGTCCGTGCATTTACATGTATGTCCTTACTTGGTGTGTTACCTAATAGGTATTGTCAGTGTCTGTCCTTATATGGTGTTGTCTTGAGACTTGTACATGTCCAGGTGTGACAGGTGAGGAAGTCGTGCAAGAGCGAGTGAAGTTGTGCGAGAGCGAGTGTGTAGGGTCGTAAAACTAGGGATACCCCTGGGTGCTGGGCAGAACCACAGATTAGCCACGTTTCTCTGGACGTCCTTGGGAGTCCAGGCGCCACATATAGCTACGGATGTAAAGTACTAACACGACACCACAGTGATGTGAGGTGGTTTCATTCCTAGACCAGAGGTACCAATAAAACTTGAAACACACAACGAATCCTAGTTGAAGGTGTGACACCCCTAATGCATTAAATGTTGATAAAGACTCTGAATTGTAAACATACAGATACAAAGTTGATCTGAATAGGAGACCAAATCTAATCCCTTTTGGGATTCCTTCTTCCGAGTTTTAACAAGCCACATGTAACTAGGATTTTGGTGGAAATCAAGGATTAAGTCCAATAAATGATTAAGTAAACCTAACAACGTATCTTAAACCTCTAACCTTACCACGAGGAATGTACCGGAAATGACATGATCACTGTCACTGTTTCTCGTATTCATTTGCGCAAACCATTTCTTTCTTGGATTTTGGAATGAAAAGCTATTTTTTCTGTTATGAGCAAATCAGAAATAGAAATATAAGTCATAAAGTGTTTACCCAAAGTTAGCAACAAGCTCCTGTCCTTCACACAGCAATGGTTTAGCTGATGGAATACAATTATCGATATTATGCAGTGTTATCAGATCATGAGGGAAAAGCGAGACGTGCCAGTGTCACTGTAAACATCAGAAATTTTATGATGAATTATATATGAGGATTCCATAAATAGTGGCGTTTGGCTAGAGAAAGACTAACAATACATTGCTAAAATATACCTTTAGGTGATGAATCAAGTCACCCAGCACGGTGCAAAATAATGGTCTTTGTTGCCGACATGCAGCTGTAAATCTTTTCCATACCGATCTGCATCACCTAAGTGCTTCATATGTGGGGCATACTAAAATCCTAATAAAAATATCCGGATCACTGTTTCAATGACACATATGAGACGTTTTTGGTTTGCACCCATATATTTAACACTACTTAGCCAGTTTGATTTCTCCATACATCACAGCAGAGACGTATATATCACATGTGATATATACGTCTCTGATCACAGTCAGTAACTCACAAGGATCAAAACCGCTGAAGAAACCTTTTTTAATTTAAAAACAAAAGTACTGTGTCGTTTACGATAATCTACATGTTTCGTTTTGATCAGTTCGAAGATAGTGGCACGATTCAGGGTATATACACTTGAACTGGATTCTATACTTATGTCAATATGTGACACATCACTGTACGCATTCTCATATGTATTTTGAAATTTCTTGCGATAAAATTTGTTTTTCCTCATTCAACTCCAGCTTCTATATTTCAAGTTTCAAAAGTAAGACTGTAACGAGTCCTAGAAGGACTGTATAGATTTACAACAATCATCTCACATACAAATAACTCCATTAAGGACCGAGGACATACTCTGTCAGCATTTGGCAAAAACACCCCAAATCGGACGCTGAAAAATCAATTTCATTGACAAAGTCATTTCTTTACTACCTAAATAATTACCTACCTTGATTAACCACCGTTCTTTAATTTTTATTCTATCGTTGTCTTGAATAAAGCCATCCAGTGCCTAAGAACAGCTCCCGAGGGGGAGGGGGGTTATTTTTTTTATTTTTAAAATCTACTATTAAATGTCCTATAATATTCTATACCTTATCTTTATTTTATTATTTATTGATAATTGGTTCGACAATATACACGAATTTATTTTTTCAGTTATAATGGCGTCCCCTCTAGCCCCAAATTCTTGGAGGCAGGTTAAATAAATTATTCTTTGGGTATATGGTGTCTTATTCTAAATTTTTAGAATGTATCGAAAGATACTGTTTACGTTTGTGTACACCACGTTTGCTGTGGACAACATTTTACTTATATTAGATATACATTATTCCATTCAAACAAGGAAATCTTCCACGTGTTTCCGTTAACGTACCATATCTATATACAATCAATACAGTAATAACGACAGTACGGACAAGTAAATTGTCAAATTTACGAGGCAACCTGCCACTTTATCAAGACACAGATATTAAATAAATTACATCACATACATAGAACATGAGACACATACATAATTTTGAAGTTAAATCGAGAGCGTTGGTATAAATTTAGGTGTCCCGATAATTCCTTCGGCCGATGGACGCCAAAGGCCCTTTATAGCGAACAAAAAACACCGCAAGTTGTTGTATATAAGATGGTGATTAAAATGTCAAAAATGTTTTACATCAATCTCAGTATGTTTTGCACTCTAGACACTGAATGTATATGTGATCGCAACGAAAACAATTGCAAGTCATACTCCGAGGAAAGTAGTCTAGCGGTACATCTCGGCCACATTCTAAATGAGGAATTGCTTGATTAAATTAATATAGCAAGTAAGTGTCATTAAAAAATAGGATGGTGATACTATACTAGTTGCCTCAGTGGTAGGTTGAGATGTACCGGCTGCAAGTTATGTATGACCGGACCTGTATGTAGTAGCAAGATCATCTCTCGTTCATGCCGAGCAGGTATTGGGTTTGGAGTTGGTTGATCCAGTGTCGTTCCTTACTGAGGCGTTGCTGGTCACCCCAACTCCTGCAGTGGTCAATGGGTACCACCTGAATGTCACGCCACGAATGACTTGGCATGTTGGAATGTCTCGCTACAGGCAGATCCGATATTTTCGATATATGTCTGTATTATAGTCTTAAAAGTTTCATCTCCTAAACCTTTGGGGAAAAAATAAAATTTTCTTCGGGTAATTATGCCAACCGAATAGAAGTGATAAAATCACAAGATGTTAGTGTGATGTTTTGACGACAACACTGTCGTCATCATCAAATAAATGACCAGTATGAAGCTTATTAGCGCTAGTACTGTCAATGAAGTGTACATGATAGTACGGAATCGACCAACTGTAATATTATTTAAGTTGTAATTACTCCCGTCCTAAGTACGCTCAGTCAGAATTTACAGTGTGAGATGTTGATAAAGATCTTAGAAAAAAGGCTCAACAAAACAAGATGTATTATGAAACACTATGCCCTCGGTTGCAACGAAATTCTGAAGAGGCACATTAAAGCTACTGTGTAAGGCATGTACTAAACTTTGACTTTAATGTCATAGTATTGACGACGTCACCGGATTTACGTCAATTTGACGCCATGTTCACCGACGTTACATCAACGCTTTGCACGCCGCCTCAGATAATACGCATAACAGCTTTACTTTAATCATTCAGCTGATCATGATTCTAGAAAAGCTTTTCCAGTTTGTAAACACACAGAAAGAAAAACAATTCTAAATTATGAAAAAAATACCTGATAATGTTTTGAACAATATCCGAAATGAAAATTTACCTGGGCCATTTAACATCTGTCAGATTCTATTTATTGCTATAATCAATATTATCTAGATACCAGACAGATAAACAGGAAATCATTATATTTAAGTATCACCCATATTGCAGTCATATTTATAACAAATGCAATCTGACCGACGATCAGTGGTTAAATGATGCCGAAATGACTCTAAATTTTGACGTGAATACGTCTGTAATATTTGCCTCATAAATGGTCATGTTATAAAATAGATATCAAATTAGCTTCCATTTCGATATGTGATTTAAAAAAACTCGTCATAATTTTTTCATTTTGCCTGATTACATGTAAACTCATGTAATATCCCGTATATTATGTTTTGAAGTACATTACTCATGGACTTGGGTATAGCCAGTGATATAATGAGAGTTACCTCCCTTTTATTAGGTTAATAATTATATGTGTCACCTTGCTTCGAGATAAGCTTTAATGAAAGATTTGATACATAACCTGCTTTATTGTTAAATATATGTAAATGAGACATATTGTCTGTTAATGATATCCTGTAAGAGAATAATTTGTCATTACAATTCATTGTTCTATCATGATAAATACCTATACAATGCATGTTATATGAGATGCAGAATAGAAGCTGTTACAACACAACCAGTAGAAGGTTAGACTGTGACGTTTCCATGACTACACGGTCACCTTATAATTCTTACCACACAACCAATAGAAGATAAGAGTGTGACGTTTCCATGACTACACGGTCACCTTATAATTCTTACCACACAACCAATAGAAGATAAGAGTGTGACGTTTCCATGACTACACGGTCACCTTATAATTTTTACAACACAACCAATAGAAGATAAGAGTGTGACGTTTCGATGTCTACACGGTCACCTTCATCTTATAAAACAACCAGTAGAAGATTAGAGTGTGACGTTTCGATGTCTACACGGTCACCTGATAGTTCTAACAACACAACCAGTAGAAGATTAGAGTGTGACGTTTCGATGTCTACACGGTCACCTTCATCTTATAAAACAACCAGTAGAAGATTAGAGTGTGACGTTTCGATGTCTACACGGTCACCTGATAGTTCTAACAACACAACCAGTAGAAGATTAGAGTGTGACGTTTCCATGACTACACGGTCACTTTATAGTTCTGGTAACACAACCAGTAGAAGATTAGAGTGCGACGTTTCGATGTCTACACGGTCACCTTATAGTTCTCTCTCACAACACAACCAGTAGAAGGTTAGTGTGAAGTTTCCATGACTACACGGTCACCTTATAGTTCTTACAACACAACCAATAGAAGGTTAGAGTGTGATGTTTCCATGTCTACACGGTCACCTGATAGTTCTAACAACACAACCAGTAGAAGATTAGAGTGGGACGTTTCCATGACTACACGGTCACCTTCATCTTATATCTCAACCAGTAGAAGATTAGAGTGTGACGTTTCGATGTCTACACGGTCACCTTATATTTCTTACAACACAGCCAGTAGAAGGTTGGAGTGTGACGTTTCCATGACTACACAGTCACCTTATATTTCTTACAACACAGCCAGTAGAAGGTTAGAGTGTGACGTTTCCATGACTACACAGTCACCTTGTATTTCTTACAACACAGCCAGTAGAAGGTTAGAGTGTGACCTTTCCATGACTACACAGTGACCTTATAGGTCTTGCAACACAACTGACTTAAGAGATTTCTTACTCCATCGTTTAAGGTTTCCGCTCAATGTAACCTAATTAATATTACGTAATTAGATGCTGATGGTTATAAATGTAAACAGAGTGCGTTTATAGTCGATATCATTACGAGATTCCCGCCAGGTTAGTATTTTTCATTCCAAGTACATCACGACAGAGAAACCAGCAGACTTGTTTACGAACATTAAAAACATCTTACATCACATTGAAAAAGTAATAACTGTTGCCATAAATCTCCCCCATAGTCTTATAACATTAATAAACATACAAAAAAAAGCAAAACAACAAATGTAAAAATAGTTTAAATTACACATCATTTTCGGCTTCATTGTAATTATTATCACTGGCTTTTTCCTAAAAATGGATTTTCAGTGCTATCATTAAAAACACGAAATACGAAATCGATGTGAAACATAATGGAAGAACGTTCAAAGGATATTACAACCTAAATTTAACAAATAACACTGTATCTAAATGTTTGTAGAGGGGGAATTGTTCTTCCTTGTTTAGGTTTTTTTTCTATTAATTTTTTTTCTTATTATTCTATCTTGATGAGACGTGATGTCGTATGATCATTTATTCGTGTTGGCTATGGAACTTTTGGACAAGATAAAAATGTCGATTATATCTAATGGGCGATAAAGTATGAAAATATCATGTTATAACCAAAAACTGACGTAAAATTGAAGAATCACGCATGCGCAGAATATCTATTATTAATTCAGCTTGTTAGTATGTAAATTGGGTTTCACGGCATATCCAAGTATCACTCACGGGAATTGAATTCCAGGAAATTCCGAGAAAATTGTGATAGTTATCATG